CGGCCGCCGCCACCGCCGGCCAGGCGGGCACGGTGTTGTCCCAGGTCGGCAGGTGGCCGGCCTCGTGGCGTTCTCTTGTGCAGCCACTGTCAAGGCGGGGTCGTGTGCACGTTCAGCCGGCGCGCGCCGCCGCCCGTCACAGACGCAGCTTGGCTTTCTGAAGCACAAACGCATACATATGGATAAGGTTAGAGCTTGCCCAACGGTGGGATTTATCTTAGTCCCCGGTGGGCTTTTAGTTCAGACGAGCCGGAGGGGCAAGTCCATACGCGGGGTCATATCGCATCTGACGTACAGCCAGGCCACATGCAACAAGTCAGAAATTATGCAACACCAAAACGGGACAACAAATACAACCTGCGATGTCTTGACACCAGTTCTGAACTGGTTCTCTCCACGGAGCAACGTTAACTACCTGCGGATCAGTTCTGAGGCCCACAGTACGCACGACAGGACATGGTGAGATGCGGCGTCGCGGTCCGCAGGTCTCCATCCGTCGCCCGGCACGGGGCCGCCCGGGCCACCGCCGCGGCCGGACGGACCGTCGGCAGAGCGGCGGAGCGATGACCGAGCCCAGCCGCCCGCGCGGCCGACCGTTCCCCGGCCGGCCGGACCCCATGCACCCCGGGATGGAGCAATCAGGGGCGAGACGCGCCGCCGGCCGGCTGGACGGGCGCGGCCCCGACAGGGGCAGCGGCATCAGACAGGCCCGCCCCTCCCCCCGCCCCCGACCACGGGCGGCGACGGCATCAGACGAGCTCGGCCCACCGACCAACAGCGGCATCAGACGGGCCCGGCCCCCGACCAGGGGCAGCGGTTTCAGACGCCGGCCCCCCGCCCCAGCGGCGAAGGCATCAGACGGGCCCGGCCCCCGACAGCGGCGAGGCATCAGACGGGTCCGGCCCCCCGACCACCGCGGCGGCGGCATCAGACGGGTCCGGCTATTATCGTGCGGACCAAATGCGGGGCAATAGCAGTGCCTGGTGCCAGTAGTGGATTTAATGAAAACTGACCAGTCCACCCGCCTCCTGGCTTTCTTAACAACCTCTTCTTGTCTTCCTGTATCTGCTTCATTTTCTTCGTCGTTTCCTTCACACTGAAAGGAGTGAACACGTGAACGGACCATGCAGACGCTTAGTTTCATAAACGGAACACTTCAGTCAATAGCAAGAAGCCAAAAAGACGGAGCAAATATCCCTGTGGGGACATCCGGTGACAAAGTATACAACTAATCCTCGTGAGGGTTTAAGTCATTCGATTCGCAATGAAAATAGGCTGCAAGGCCCTGCTTGAATGGAAGAAATCAGGAAGACTCAAACACGAGAAGTAAATTATGTTATATACGTATTTGGAACGGTTTGCACGGATGGTTTGAGCCCCCGAAACACGCTAAGCAGAGATTGTTGCATGCATCCTGAACCCCCCACCCAAGACGCGCGATTCAGGGAAACCTCATACCCTTATCTCATAGTCCTTGGCTGCAAATACGCTCCGCAATGAATCCATGATGCAACCATAGATGCCCAGTTCACAGTGGTGGGCCCTGCTAGACGGTTCAATGATCTTCAGGACGTAATAGGATATATGGTTTGACCAACAAGGAGTACAATCCTTGGTCATTTAAGACACATTCACGTCTCGTCGAATGATCTCGTATAGCTTAAATTCAACGAGCCGAGAATGGTGAAGTGTACGCTTTCTAAATATCCGATAACGAAATAAGCTATAAGACAGTTTTCAACAGCTCATAGCCAAACAATTGACACAGAATGCCATTATGACAGGGCATACGTATCATGACCACAACGACGCTGACGATAATCTACAAGCAAATTAGGGCCCCCGATGCCGTAAAAACACCTATGGGGGCAAGCGGCAGACCAGGACAGCGCGCGCAGGGCCGAAGAAGCCCTGACACAGCGAGGCCCGCCCAGGCCGGCGCAGCCCCAATCCACTGCAGCCCAGCGGGCGCGCCGCCGCCATATTTGCGCCCGACCGCGCCGCCGTCGCCGTCGTAAATCGTGCGGCCGGCGGCGGCCGTCGGCCCGATGACGGACTGCCGTCAGCGGGGGCGGCGGCATCGCGGCGCCATCGCCCGAGGCCCGGGAGGAGCCCCGGCCGGGGCCAGGGGGGGCCGGGGCCGGGGCCGGGGCCGGGACCGGGACCGGGACCGGGACCGGGGCCGGGGCCGGGGCCGGGGCCGGGACCGGGACCGGGGGGGACCGGGGCCGGGACCGGGACCGGGACCGAGACCGGGACCGGGAACGAGACCGGGACCGGGAACGAGACCGGGACCGGGAACGAGACCGGGACCGGGAACGAGACCGGGACCAGGGACCGGGACCGGGACCGGGACCGGGACCGGGACCGGGACCGGGACCGGGACCGGACCGGACCAGGCCGGGGCAGAGGCTGGGCCGGGGTCAGGGCGAGGCTGGAGCTGGCCGGCCGTTCCAGGGTCGGCCCGTCTCATCGGTCGCCGTGGTCGGCCGGCCCGTGGCTGCGGTGCGCTCACCCCCCAAATGTTCCTATGACGCACACTGTTTCGCAGGAGGAGTTGTGGCGTTGTGGCCACAGATCGACCATTGTGTACCGTAGATAACCATAACTGCTGCCCGGTGTGACGGGTCGGCAGCGTGGGCCGACACGGCCGGCGCCTCACATTTTGACCTGCTCCCGCTTCCATATGTCGGTGAAGTCGGCGCAGAACGGTGCCCAGATGGCGAAAAAGTCTTTGGGCGTCATCTTCTTGTTATCCTTCCGGTGTGTGCATTGGAAGAATGCGCATATTGCCACGAAGCTGGAACACGCGTCAGCTGATCAGTTGAAGCCTGTTGAAGCCAGCCTGCACAGCAGCGGACAAAGGTGGACAACCCTGTTGTCAATGACATCGGATGTAATATGCTGATGACGACTCTCTGGTACAAGCCTGATAACGCAGGCGCGCGTTTCTGCGTCGATGTTAAGAGAACTTTGCTACACCGGAACACGCACGGGTGGCGACAGCTCTGCACAGCGATCTTCCAATTATCGTGGCAAGAAGCCTGGCCTCTCCATAAACTGCTGTTCAAAATGATATTCATCACCTGGCGAGCCTTGCTGACGCCATAAGGCGAATATCACACGGTCATCAGGGGTCTTTGAGCATATGACACGGTGCACCTGCCTACAAAACGGACTGTTGTCACAGCGCCGCATCAGTTCGCTATCGATTAATCTGACACATCAATCATGCAACTCTCGCTGGGCTGGCTCCAGGTTCCAGCATGCCGCAAGCAGTAAATCTGGACACCCGTACTCAGCGAGTGGCATCGCGGAGGGACATTCGCTCGTAAAATTTGTCAACGTCCGCAACGCCACTAAAAGCGACAACACACCAGTTTGTAGGCGACTTTCCAGGCCTCCGCCACACACAAAGCCCGACTCATCAACCATTGTAATATCCTGGCCCAACATCTGCGGCAGCCCCCGCTACCGTAAGCGGACAAGGGTGCGAGCGGCCGCGCCCGCTAGCGGCCGCTGACCGGCCGCCGCGCGTCGTCCGCCGGCGCCCCACCCTGCGCTTCCCACGTGGCACCGCCCGGCCGGCCGATGACAGACGAGCCGTCGGCGGCGGCTCCAAAACCGGGCCTGGGGCCGCGCCCCCGACGAAGACGGCTCGGGACCGGTCGGCCGCCGCCGCCGCCGCCGCCCGGCCGGACGGCGCCGCACCGGTGCCTTCCGGCCGGCGGCGGCGCTCGTAGCCGTGACCTTGGCCCGCCACAACTGACGGCCTGGCGACGACACGGCCACACCGCTCGCTCGCCCACAAATCTGCCTAATCCCACCAGCCTCGCCCAGAGAGACAGAGGATACCAATGAGGTAGCGTTGTTTCATTTGTTATATTTTAGTCCAAGCAACACTTGCAGAAACTTGTCAGTGGGTGGGGTGGAAGTCCGTTGTAAGCCTAGCCTGCTTAGACCACATTCCGGCGCCTACTAGCTTAAACTGCTGGGCAGCTAGGCGTACACTGACTGACGACCATACACATTGCATTGTGGAACAGTGAGGCGGTCACTCCTCGTTTGAAGCGCCGAGCGAATATTCTTGGCACTGGTGGTCAAGCACCAGTCAGTCATGCGCCCAGAACCGTGCGTTTTCCCCGACGCCAGGGACAGACAGCTCGGGGCCCCAGCGGGCGCGCGCAGCGGCCACCCACCTGGTCTGGCAGTCCTCCAGGTTCTTCCGCTGGGCCTGCAGGTTGCTGTCAGCCTCCCGCAGAAAGGTCTCCATGTTGCCTTTGAAGGGCTGCAGATGAGCCTCGTCGGAGGCGGTCGCCACCTGCCGGACGCAGGCTCGGTCACCGGGGCGTTAGCCGGTCCCGCCGCCGACCCGGCCACAGAATGCGGATGGTACAGTGACGTGCGGGACAAACTGGCAATGTAGCCCGCTGGCTGGAGCCGGGCTCCCACGTGGCGGCGTGCGTGGCCCGTCTGGTTGGAGCCGGGCTCCTACGTGGCGGCGTGCGTGGCCCGTCTGGCTGGAGCCGGGCTCCCACGTGGCGGCGTGCGTGGCCCGTCTGGCTGGAGCCGGGCTCCCACGTGGCGGCGTGCGTAGCCCGTCTGGGTGGAGCCGGGCTCCTGCGCACCGGAACCGACGTTCAAATTATCTCCTTCTAGAGCGATAGAGTTCAGAGAACACGAGATACTGTGAACCTTGGAAGCGCCGCCGCATAGTGTGGAAGGAACTTACCACACATTCGAGAGGTCGAGCCTTCCCCTCTGCCCCCAAAATTCTAAACATTCAAACAGGTGTACCAGCACTGTGGCGGAAGCACTAGCTTCACATCTCATTCAAAGCCCTGCCATTCATTGGTTTGGATAGGGTAGCAGGTAAGACCGGCAGCTGATCTTGTAGTACTTCTGTTGCGTATCGCCTGCTCATTAAAGTAGTGCAGCAGCGGAGATGGACACTCAGCGAACTACCCAGCTGCACACCACTGGACGCCGTGCGGCAGACGGCGCCGCGCGATCAGCCTGCGACCCAGCCCGTTACCCACCACCCAGACGGGCCACGCACGCCGCCACGTGGGAGCCCGACCCCACCCAGACGGGCCACGCACGCCGCCCGGCTCGACCCAGACGGGGTTCGGGGAAGTCCGGCGATGCGGACGACGCCGGCGGCGGCGCCAACAGGCCGCAGACCGCTGACGAACGGCCGTCCGCCCGGGCGGCTGGGCCCACCATAGATCCATCGAGCGGCGAACGACAGGCCGGCGCCGGCGGCGGCCGCCGACAGGGGCGAGGTCAGTCGAGCGGCGGCGGCGGCGGCGGCGGCGGCGGCGGCATGCCCGCATGCCCATGCGGCGGCATGCGGCAACAACAGCCCTTTGCAGCCGGCTGGTGACGCAGCCGTACGGGGAGACACCGTTCGTACATACAGGCTCCCGGGAAATTCCCTACATCACGCACGCACGCACGCACGCACGCACGCACGCACGCACGCACGCACGCACGCACGCACGCACACACGCACGCACACGTCGGGAAGCCATTCAAAACTACTCCAAGTACACCGGCAAAACAGCTAGCTATTGGAGCTTTCGGGTGCTTCGACTGCACGGTCATATAGCGCCCAGGAAAAAGACAGGTTGTCGCCAGACATTTCGATAAGGTGGTAACGACCGTCAGTCATGCTAGAATAGACTGCTTCGACCGGTGGCCCTGCTGCGTAGGGAGCGGGATAGAAGGGTGAGCCAGCACCGCCGAGGACTACCTCCGCGGTGCGTCATCCGCAGACAGGCCGGTGGATGTGTGTAAGAGGGAAAGGGGGGGGGGGGGGGGGGCGCCTCCGCAACCCACCTTCTCGGTGCGTCGCTGGCAGTCACGGAGCTCCTTGCCCAGCTGGCGCAGTTCGGTGGCCACCTCGTCAAACTTCACCTGCTGGCACCGCTCGACGTCCCACGGACTGGGCACCGGCAGCTGCCGACACTCCGTGTCGTGGTTCTGCGTCACAGGTCAAAGGAGGTCACGGGAGGTCACGGAAGGTCCGCGGCAGATCGGCGGCTCAAGCAAACATCGGTCCCACCCTGATGCCAAGCATAATGTCTTCAAGGACTCCATCTTAGCTTGTGAGGCAGTCTTGGCTGGAGCGAAACAGGTCAGTACGCGGGGACGGTGGCTTTCACGTAGGAGGTCAAAGTTCGGCTCCTGACAGACGCCAACAGCCGCTCGCGTGATCGCTCAGCCGTCGTTAGCGTCCCGTATATAATGTCAAATGATGGCATGCGTCGCACATCCTTTTGCATGCAGCGTGACATACTTTTCTTAACGAGCAGCTGACTGCCACGTCAAAAGCTCGTACAGAAGGGCATAATAGGTATTCCCTGATAACGCTGATGCAGCACGCGGCGGGACGGCTGCCGGCGCGTCTACAGCGGACAGCTTCGAGCCATTCCATCCTGCGCAGGGGTCAACGAACGGCAAAGGCATGATGTGCACTGACATTTCTGCTAGTTGGCAAAATGGGCCAGAATAAACGAAAGATTAAATGGCGTTAACTTCCCTTCAACTTGAAAAACAAGGCACTGAAGTTCAAACTTGATGCGACCCACGGCGTGAGATTCTAACGGAGCATGACAACACAGCATCTTCAAAGTAGAGTCGACTGAAACAGCACATTTCCAGCCCGGGTCAGCAGAGACCACGCAGAGTGGACGGCAGCGTCGCCGTCACGGCCACTTACCTGGATGTATTTCCTGACGATGTAGTGCAGCAGGGTGGTGGAGTTGTCCTTACTCTTGACGTCCTTGAGTTTGCCGATGATGTCGAGCCCGAAGCCGTCCGCCTGGCCGCGCGTCCTATTGCCGCCGTTCATGTAGTTGCCGAGCGCCAGGATCAGGCCGAACACGTGTTGCAGCGGCTTGGATGATGTCAGCAGCTGTCGACACAGAATCAGGCGATATATTCAGGTCTATGGACAGTGAGATCAGTAGACACCAGCTGCAGCAGCTGGGGCGGGGCAGCGAGAGGTCCCGTCAGGCTTACGGACCGTGAGGTCATCAGATACTAGCTGCAGCTGCTGGGGCGGAGCAGCGAGAATTCCCGTCAGGTTTACGGGCCGTAAGATCATCAGACACCAGCTGCAGCTGCTGGGGCGGAGCATCGAGAAGTCCCGTCAGATTTACGGGCCGTGAGATCATCAGACACCGGCTGCAGCTGCTGGGGCGGAGCAGCGAGAATTCCCGTCAGGTTTACGGGCCGTGAGATCATCAGACACCAGCTGCAGCTGCTGGGGCGGAGCATCGAGAAGTCCCGTCAGGTTTACGGGCCGTGAGATCATCAGACACCGCTGCAGCTGCTGGGGCGGAGCACCGAGAAGTCCCGTCGGGTTTACGGGCCGTGAGATCATCAGACACCAGCTGCAGCTGCTGGGGCGGAGCATCGAGAAGTCCCTTCAGGTTTACGGGCCGTAAGATCATCAGACACCGGCTGCAGCTGCTGGGGCGGAGCACCGAGAAGTCCCGTCGGGTTTACGGGCCGTGAGATCATCAGACACTAGCTGCAGCTGCTGGAGCGGAGCAGCGGTAAGTCGATGCACGGATGGCGAAGCCAGCCCGCAGTCGGGCCGTCAGATATCGACGGCTGTCGGGACAGACGGGCGGAGAGCTGTCAGATCTGCCGACCGCGCAACAGACAGCCTGACATATGGACGTGACGTGACAGATATACTTGTCTGGTCTACCAAGTACTGCTGATCCTCCGTCCACGGCGGCGGAAAGGAATGGAATGTAGAATATCTTTGAAGCATAGTGGAATGTTACTCATTGTGGTCTTTTTACTACTTCAGATGCAATGAAGCACTCACACCTTTAATGCGACGAAACGCGATGCAACAGCGTAAGCAGGCCGGCGGACAAAGTCCTGCTACTGCTTTTGTCAAAAAGCGCCGCGCTATGATTGGACCGAGCGAGGCAACGGGCGGACAGATCACTCCGCCGAGGGATGGACTCGTGCTATCGCTACCACGGAGAGGGATGCTGATGGGAATGACGGTCAGTTTAAGAAGTCGGTGGACCAAAGAATGATACCAAAGTGTTGTCTGTGCAAGCTTATTTTAACACAAGTCATGGAACAAGTGAACGTTCGATGGTGCACGACGGCATGCAAAGAAGTGCTTCGCCTTTATCCAGCATTTTGAACTGACGTAGCCAGATCGCAGCGTCCGGATGCATTCACGCACACTCAGCCATGTTCACAACCATATCCCTCAACAAGGTAAATAGCGCTCTTTTTACTACCTAAAACGCTTCTATTCCACAGCATACAAGGACCAGGTTCAGCACACACTGGAGGCATGCCTTCAAGGTCGATGACGATGATCTGCCGCTCCGACTGTCCCGCGGACGCTGAGCGTTACGACTGCCTCGCGGACGCTCGGCGCTACGACGCTCTGCCGCTCCGACTGCTCCGCGGGCGCTGAGCGTCACGACTGTCCCGCGGACGCTGAGCGTTACGACTGTCCCGCGGACGCTGGGCGTTACGACTGTCCCGCGGATGCTGAGCGTTACGACTGCTCCGCGGACGCTGAGCGTTACGACTGTCCCGCGGATGCTGAGCGTTACGACTGCTCCGCGGACGCTGAGCGTTACGACTGCTCCGCGGACGCTGAACGTTACGACTGCCCCGCGGACGCTGAGCGTTACGACTGCTCCGCGGACGCTGAACGTTACGACTGCCCCGCGGACGCTGAACGTTACGACTGCCCCGCGGACGCTGAGCGTTGCGACTGCTCCGCGGACGTTGGGCGTTACGACGCTCTGCCGCTCCAACTGTTCCGCGGACGCTGAGCGTTACGACGCTCTGCCGCTCCGACTGCCCTGCGGATGCTGAACGTTGCGACTGCTCCGCGGACGCTGAGCGCTACGACTGCTCCGCGGACGCTGAGCGCTACGACTGCTCCGGGGACGCTGAGCGTTGCGACTGCTCCGCGGACGCTGAACGTTGCGACTGCTCCGCGGACGCTGAGCTCTACGACTGCTCCGTGGACGTTGAGCGCTACGACTGCTCCGCGGACGCCGAACGTTGCGACTGCTCCGCGGACGCTGATCGTTACGACTGTTCCGCGGACGCTGAGCGCTACGACTGCTCCGCGGACGCTGAGCGCTACGACTGCTCCGCGGACGCTGAGCGTGACGCAGTGTCCGCCGACCGCGACTGATCGGGCCGTATACACCTCCTGCAGTCATCTGCTGTAACTAACGGGTGAACTCTTGAATGGGTCTGCGAATGGCCCACCATCGTCGCTATCGACCCAGAGGGCACTAGCTCACCGCCGGTTAGTTGCGACGAATGGCGACTACCAAAAATCAACATAAAAAAACACAAAAAAACAACAAAAGCAACATCCAAACAGTTAGTCGTGTCGGTGCGCGATACCTTCTTAAAATGTATGTTTATTCATTATTTATTGTTCGCTCACGCCTTTTGATTTCACATCCCTGACTACGAATGCGGCAAGGCGTAGGGTGGCCATCATGACACTGAACAGAATAATGAAACAATGAGCGGTGAACGCTAGTCACTGATTGGCGCGTGATGTGGTGTGAAATATGACGTCATGTGGCTGCATCTGTCTGGAAGCAAAATTTTGATGGTTCAGGAACTTTTGACAAAAAAGGCAAGATCACTGGCGTAGTATCTCCGAAGCATCCTCCTTAGCCCCAACACAGTTCGCTAGAAAACAGTATGTAGGGGCAGGGTCCATTAAAGTTTTGTATTCGTTTTATCCTTCAACACGCAAAAATTAATGAATTACCTGTTCAGCCAAGAAAAACCTACTAAAGTATTGTCAATTTTGAAACCATCTTCAATGGAACACTGCTATGGCCTAAACGCTAGCATAATACAAAACGTCCCAAACTGTCCAAGGTCAAATCCAAACCATGCAGAATTACCGCAGCGTAAATAGAGTAGTAACTTCTGGGAAAACAAATATGCGAGAGCTATTAGAAGAGTACAACAGAGCTTTCTATGGATGAAAGAAAAATCCGACTTCTGGCCAGTAGCATCTCTTGACGACCAAATCGACCAAGACTTACCAGCGCCAGCACTCTGCAGCGATGGCCAACGCACTTGGAATACAACGCATCATCCATAAAATGAAGACGGGACGGAACTCACAACCCTCACCGAAGTTGACACCAAAGGCTGATTCATTCTCATGATGAGAGCCCGTTCAGTCCATAAACGGCCCGCGCGTTCGGAGACACTGCACAGAGCAGCACCGTCCGCAGACCGAGTCAGGTCGGGAGCCCTACCTTGCAGGTGCCCTTGAGGTTGTCCAGCTTGGCTTCAATGTTGGCCAGCGTCTCGCGGAACGACGACTGGAAGGTGAAGCAGGTGATGCGGTCGGCGAAGTGCGGCACCTGGCTCAGCTCGTACAGGAACCTGCCAGTACGGGAGTGGCGCCGGTGACACGAGCCCAGCCCCGGAGCCGCCGCCGCCCACCGAGCACCATCCGGGGTCCTGACAGGAGCCGAAGACAGGGGAGGCGCGGCCCGCGCTGGCCCGGGCCAGAGCGCGCAGGCACGGGTCGACGCTGAGCGGCGGGCTATTACCACCGACGGTCGGCTGGTGAGACAAGGGGACCCGCACCGACGGCGCACGCACACGCTCCGCACCAGTGACCGCGCGGTCCCAAGGACGCTGCACCTACCGAGCAGGTCGGCATCTATGGCGCTTCAGCGATCAAGACGTAAGACTTAAAGTAATGCAAAGCCGGGTATCAACCCAAAAGCATGTCTGGATCTTAACCTCGCAACGTCTTAATGTGGTCCTTAACCGACTTTCTATCTTAGCAGAATTAACAGCACCATATCAAAGGCACCGCCAGGAAGCGGCATTCGCGAGAGACTGGGCGCTGCCAGCCAGCTGGCCGCCGCGGCCCCACACGTACTGTTCGGGCTTGTCGAGAGGCACGTCCGGGCTCTTCTCCACGTGCTTCTGAATGAGGCGCAGCTCGTCCTCCGTCGCCCTCTGTCGGCAGGCGCGGCGGTCAGGCACGGCCACGCCCGTACAACCCCAGCTCGGGGGCACGGACAGACGCCGCCGTACACGACCCGGGGACGTCACCGACGGGGGTCAGGGGGGCTGTTGACGGAACATCTCCGACACGATCATCCTTCCGGAAGTTTACTGGAATGCTTCTCGAGACCTTTTCTGTGGAAAGTGTCCGGTCATTCGGCTTCCATTGAACTGACTCTCCCGAGTGTCTTGAAAAGCTTTCCAAGACCCAATCTGCGGAGAGCTTCCGGCCATCAGCTTCCATGGAAGCGATATTCCGGAAAATTTGAGGAGACAGCAGATTGCATAGTCCACGAAATTCCCAAGCCCTTGGTTCCCAAACATAATCTGACATAGCTGAAATGACTTAAAAGAAGACAGCATGTGGAGCTTTCCGCATTTGACACGAATTGGACAATGGCAATTGCCTTCCATTTTCCCAGGAGCCTTTCGTAACAAGAAAATGACATTCCAGAACAAGAATTTGATAGCTTAAGATTCAGTATGCTCTGAAGACATTCCGTCTATATAAAAAATCATTTCTGGCACCTTGCGGGCCTGTTTTTCGTCAGTGAAAAACATCAGCCACTTGTGAGCTACGCGTCGATTTAGCCGACACTCAAGACCTATCCAAAACACAGCTGTGCATCAACCAGGCACCCGACACCGCCAACGGCTACAACGGTCACGGAGCGGTACTGTGTTTACCATGCCGCGTCCGGCTCTCACTTTCCCGCGCCCGGCTCTCACCACCCCTCGTCCGGCTGTCACCATCCCGTGCCCGGCTCTCACCACCGCCGTCCGTCTCTCACCATCTCCAGGATCTGCTCCAGCTGATCCAGGCTGAGGTCGGACGTGTCGAAGTTCATCACGGCCGACTCCACGTCGCCGATCTCTAGGTGCTGTGACGAGATCAGGATACCCACGTTCTGCGACCGCTTGCTGTCCAGCAGCTTGGCCCGCTTCACCTGGATGGCGGTGAGACCCGGTCAGCCGACTGTGGTTCTGACAGAACACCGCGGGATGCTGGCGCCGCCAGAACACCAGGGTGCTCCACCACTGGTGTGCTCAGCCCCGGTGCCACTGCCTTACCAGCTGAGCAGTGACAGAATAGGTGGCAGGCGTGTGATAACGAACGCCGAGTTCACTGGGCCCGCATCGGGTCACCGCCAGTCCCAGTTACATATTGTGGGCAATAACTCCAGTCTCCTCGTCCTTTCTCCATCAATTGTCAATGTCATTTTGCGGCAATGGACCGTGGGCTTTAAGACCATTTCCCCCAAACACTATTTGCATTTTTTCTTCGCTGTACCCGTAAGTAAGAGCTGCCCTAACTCCCGAGTTCATAAAGAAGCTGACGTTCTTGTCCACAGATGCCTGCATTGTGCGAAAACATTGTCACAGGTGCCTGCGTTGTCTTCCTTCGTAGGACACCCGCCCAGAGCCGTACATCACCTCGCCACTGACCTGCTTCTTAGGGCTCTTAACCTCCTTCACCCGCCCAGAGCCGTACATCACCTCGCCACTGACCCAGAGCCGTACATCACCTCGCCACTGACCTGCTTCTTAGGGCTCTTAACCTCCTTCTTCTTGACGGGCTTCTTCTGGACCACCTGCCTGGCGAACAGGTCGGTGAACTCCTCCTCCTCGAACGGCTCCTCCTCCAGCCGGTCCCAGAGGAGAGCGGGCGCCGCCGGCTCGGCGCCGCCGCTCGACAGCGAGTCGGGGCCCGAGCCGGCCTCGGTCCTGCGGCGAGGCGCAGCGGCCGCGTTAGTCAACGCACTGTGGCCAGACACGGCGGACGGCCGGTCAGACGAGGTCAGCAGGTCAGCGGTGTGGCTGTCGCCCACAGGACGGCGCGGCGGCGACACCGGGAGACGTCGTGCCACCCCGTGACGCACCGAACGTACCGAGACACACAGCAGCACAACACCGCAAAACGACAGTCAGACGTGATGAAGGTCAGCCGCCAAGGCATAGCAGAAGGACACCCACACCCTTCGAAATCTATAACTGGGTCCCATCGTACATCCAGGTCTGCCATAGCACACGCTGTGTTTGGGTGCAAAGCTGCTGGGCCCTTATAACGGGCCTGGTGTGTCATCCACACCAAGAGGCCGTCTGGTGTAATGAGATGATAATTGCGCGGTGTATCTATGCCCATCCACGACTTAGGCCGGTAAGTGGCCGTGTTTTTTGCCTTAAGCCGCTTTATGAGAGCTAAGCGGCTCTGGTAGCGCTGTCAGAACGCGCTGGAGATTACCACACACCGAGATGCAACAGCCAAGCCCCGGGTTACATGCCGCGGCATGGCCGAACCAGGGCTTTAGGCGATCGGACAGACGTATCGGTGCGCAGTGCCAGCGCCCCTCACCCGTCCGGGGCTGCGTCCGGCTCGACGGCGGGCGCGGGCGCGGGCGCGGGCGCGGGCGGCGGCGGCGCCGGGATCTGGATCCGCGTCCAGTACAGCGGCCGCATCGGCACCTTGGGGTTCACCGGGCCCTTCCGCGTCACTGCAAAACAACGCCGCTCAGCTGTGCGGGGCGAGCTGAGAGCACGGCACAACAGGGGGCGGGGGTGCGATGGGGGGATAGAGGGGTTCACTGTCAGATCACCAGACATCCAGCATGTCAACATGACAAAGGATGATAAAGGGGAAGTTGGCAAAAGAACAACGAAGCGATGAACGTTTCCTCGAAGGCCTGAGGAATGAACTATTGCATAATATTTCGAGACCTATCACAAAACTGAGTAGAGATTACATATTAGGCGCACCTTCATGCCATTGTTTTAATCAATACCGTTACCTTTGTCGGAAGAAATGCCAGTAGTTTACAGCATTGCACTGACATCATTAACAGCATACCACAATTTGAGTCTATTGTCTTTAAATTAGGTGCGTCCATGGTACTCGATTAAAAAAAGAAGTTTAAAAGCACATCTGCTCTTATGAGTTAAAGTTGTTATGATGAGTTGGCGACTTTCATTTATATTGAAAAGCACGAAATGGACACAACCTGGAAAATATCTGCAAAAAATAAATAACAAAAGTAGCGACATGGCAAGCGACATAGGGACCTGAAATTATATTGAGCTGGTGACTGACATGGTGTACAAGCGAAATTGCGTCATGCGCTTACTTCACTATCCAGGTTAGAGCAAGCACCAAGACATATCAAATGAAAGCAGAGAAAAAACGAAATAAAGCAGAGGGGACGGGAAGGCGCCGAATCATCCCCATACCAAGCCATGGCGTCCACCCTTCACCCAAATAGCACCGCCAAGTAGCCCAAACCACGGCCGGCGACACATGAACGCGAGCAGCAGAAGGAGAAGGCGGGGTGACAGCCCCCCCCCCCCCCCCCCCCCCCCCCAGCGCCAGACACCAGCAGCGGGTGACACGAAGGGGCGAAAGAGGCTCCGCTCACCTCGGCCGGAGCCAGCGGCGCCAGACACACAGCCTGCAGTACAGAGACATACGGGTCACGCCGCGCCGCTCGCTCACGGGACGCCGCGGGGCGCGCGCGCCGCGGCACCACGCGCCACACGCTGTGACGACCAGCTACGCGCTACAACACCACTCAGTGCGACGAGACGTGATCGAGACCGGAAACGTGACAGGACGGTATCGCCGAGCAGACCGCGAGCACGACCTGGTGCGCTACTGCCGGGGAGACAGCGCCGTGGGGCTCTGAACAGCTGTCTAAGCCGGAGAGTGACAAGGTGCTGCAACCTGGGTTGTCATACAGAACAAAACGTAACGAAGACAGCTTCAAGGCAAAAGGCAGGCACGAGGCATAAACATAAAGCCAACCAGGTCAACTTAGCCGTCACTCGCACAGTCAAGCCACGCCGGCCCGGTGTGCTCCGTACCAATCAACCTCACAGACTGGTGTGCATGCAACGACGATCTAGAGGAGGAGCAGCCATCACCCGCCGCCGCCGGGCCGGTCCAGACCGAGATGCAGACCAGACCTCAGCAGCCAGTGGAGTGCTCACCTGCCGTCTGGCTGCTCCAGCCTCCGGGCGGCGGCGGCGGCAGAGGTGACGGGCCGCCAGGGGGCGGCGGAGGAGGAGGCGGCCCAGAGCCCGGAGGCGGCGGAGGAGGAGGAACAGACCCGGGGATGGGCGGGGGAGGTGGCGGAGGGGGCGGACCGGAACCCGGCAACGGCGGAGGGGGCGGAGGTGGAGGAGGGACGGCACCAGGCATGGGCGGTGGAGGTGGAATAGAGCCCGGCACGGGTGGTGGCGGGGGCGGCGGGGGAATGGAACCAGAGCCAGGCGCGGGAGGGGGCGGGGGCGGGGGCGGAGGCGGAGGCGGAGGAGGAATATACGGCGGAGGGGCGGTGATGCCGGGTTTGGGGGGCAGGGGTGGTACTGGTACTGACTTCGAAGGGCTGGACGCTGGGGAAGGGCCTTTGGAGGAGGGAAGGGATGTTCTTGACACAACTGGATCCGCGCCGAGAGGCAGCTCCTTGTTCTCGGACGATGGCGAAGCAAAGTCGGTTCTCATGTTTTTTGTAAGCTCCTGTAAACAGAAACCAACTCTGATTCCGGGCATCTGCCTGCTGGTGACTTATTTGATGCTGCTGTCAAACAGCAACGCCAGTTAATGCACGTCCGTCAAAAACTAGTAAAAACAGTCAGAGACCTGCATCGTACAAAATGCAAATATTTTAGCTCTGAAGGAACATAAATAATTTTGTCACTGCAAAACCTATTTCTAGATACCCCTGCGCTACAATAAAGCAACAAGGTAGAACTATGGGGCTTCCAGCAATTTCTCCCGCTTGCGTACATGATCACTTTATTTGGCCATGCGCTATTCTGACCTGGAGACCAGCCAAGGTCTTGTACTTCTCCAGCTGTTGCTCCAGCAGCTTCAACTTGTCCTCCAGCTCGGCCAGCTTCAGAGCCTCGGCGCTGGACTGCTCCGGTGGCGCCACCTGCTGTGACGACGGTGGCGCCTCCTTCTCCACAGGCGGGTCGCAGGGAGGCGCTCGGACCGGAACATCTGTCAGAGCGCACAGCCGTCAGAGCACAGTCAAGACTATTGCGCTGATTACTGGGACGTCCAGGTACGCCGATCAACCGATGGAAGGCTGGGTTGGGCTTCAATTAGCGAAGACCGCTTACAATGAGCATACAATTACAGCTCGAAACAAGTTGTGAACCCAATAACACCATTACAGCCAGCGTGGCAATAAAATAATGCAGGCACAGGGGCATCGGTGCCACAGCAATGGCTGGAGGCGACATTACGTTAGAAGAGGGTCAGATCGCCACATGACGAGTAGAAAGAGTGCACATTTCTCCGGAAACAGCGCACGAAGCGTTAAAACACCAGAGACGTTCCAGTCGCCTGCGTTCAGTTGCGTGTGTCGCCACAGCTGTGAGCAAGCCTAGGGTTACTCCATGCTAGCCTGCACAACGCTGCGGAAGAGCAACAAAACAAAGTACGTCTTCAGAGCATTCATTGATGCCGCGCAACGGTTACCGAACACAAAATCTCACCGTTGGAAATCCATAAGGCGACGGCTTACGAAGGTGCCATCACATCCCCACTTTGGAAGGAAAAGAGGGCTAAGAAGAGAGGGGAAGAGGGCATGACACGCTACTATACGTGGCCCTACCGGCGGTGCACGGAACTCGACGAGTCGAGCCGTCGCGGTCTCCCTCCACCCCCCCCCCCCCCCCAGCCTTCCTGGGACGGAGAGGTCGCGGACCGCGGGCCGGCGTACCTGAGCCGAGCCTTCGCAGTCTTCCCTCCCCCCTCCAGCCTTCCCGGGACAAAGAGGTCGCGGGCCGCGGGTCGGCGTACCTGGGTCGAGCTTCCGGTCCGGGGCGCGGCGCTCCTGGTCCAGGGCCATGTCCAGGGTGACCGGGTCCAGCGGTCCCGACAGCCGTGGTCCGGACGCCGGCGACGCGTCTGCCCGGTGGCGCACAGGCACATTGGCACGGATGCTCAGCGGCGTCAATGCACCGAGGGCACACAGTCAGGCCCGTACAACGACGGTATAACTAAGTAAATCAACGTTTTGATGCATACTCGGTTAATCCAGAGCGACCCCGTATTTCGACGCCGATGTGTTGTTTGTCGTGGCTTCCAATGACACCTGATACGTGCACAGCTGCCCGCCCTCGGCCCTCCCATACACTGGCGTCACCCGGCGCCACAGCCGCCGCGCCGGCGCGTACCAGGGTCGGACGGCCGGGCCGCCGCCGGGCTGAACGCCGACCACACGGCCGACGGCAGCCGGCGCGGCGTCGACGCCTGGGAGGCCGGCAGCTCCGAGTGCGCCCAGTAGTACATCAGGTCCGGCTGGCGGCGCAGAACCGGGCGCGTCAGGTCACGGCGGGGACACAGCAGAGGGGGGACACAGCGATAGGGGGGGGGGGGGGGCGTCAGGTCCGGCTGGCGACGCAGAACCGGGCGCGTCACGTCACAGCGGGGACACGGGGACGGGGGAGAGGGGGGTCAGATCCGGCATGGAACATAGAGGTCAGTAAGATCCTGGGGGCGGGGCACGCCAGGTCCGGTGCTAAATATGCCAAGGGGCGTGTCACGGACACGGATGGGTCCGTTAGGTCCGGCTGAGGAACGGCATGGCCGTCACGCCCGGCTGTGGACACAGTGGAGACCGGCCATACAATGTGAATATACATGAAGTTTCATTGCAAAAGCTTATCCACTACGGCATAGATAGGTGCATGACCCATGAAATGCGAATTCACGAGTGACAATTAGGATGCGGCGAATTCATCGAGTTCGGGCTGCGCAATACACATTTTATTCTGTCGCACATACAGGGGTATTAACTGCTGCTTTACGTGTGGGTAATATATATGAAAAACTTCGATGGGCCGCTTTAAAAACGCAATTGTGATCTCTCGCCTCGGTTTGAAGGAAACACGCATGGCTCCGAGTAACCCCTGCAATGACGGACAATGGAAGGCTGTTGACGTTTGTCAAGCCAAGACGAAAATGTCGTCGAACCTCTACTGCTAGCCCTCATATCCTCAGTGGGATGATTTTGACAGCCAGAACAAGACCGCGAAGACTTTTATCACTTACAAACAGTGCGAACGATGAACAGGTGTCTGTCGCATCGTTGTGGCATACCAGCTGATGCAGACATTATCTTCATGTGGTCATCAATAGGTAATAAATTAAGCTTCGATTACTTTCAGGTAGAGGTTCCGCACTCAGAATTGTCACAAGCTTCGCCGCGGTAGACCCGAGACAGCATCCAGCACTGACACCTCCAGCCTACACCCACCTGCGCCGGCGCAGCCGGGCCCTGGCGTCGGCAGAGAGGCTTCGACTCCCGCTCCGCCGGCCCAGCACCGGACCTTGCCGTTGCTCACGGAAGTCGCATGCAGCGGTCCGGACCGCCATTGCCCCCTCCCCCCGCCCCCCAGGCGTCTCAGCCCTGTCTCCAGTCACCGGTCGGCAGTGTGGTTAGGCTTGCTCAAAACCGTACTCGCTGCACGAGCAGCCAAGCCGGGCTCGCCAGAGAGTGGCACCGGCTCGCCTCGCTGCACCAGCCGCAGAGCCGAGGTCGCCGGCGGGTGGCACCAGCTCGCCTCGCTGCACCAGCCGTGGAGCCGGGCTCGCCGGAGAGTGGCACCGGCTCGACTCGGCCCGAGGCGAACGGAGCACACTGGATTACTGCTGTCTTAAAGGAAGCCGCTATCGCCCGGTTTGCCCGGACCAGCAGCGGTAAAACACTCGCCGCGCCCCGATGCCTCATCAGCCGCTATCGTACATCTACGCTGCAGCGGCTCTGTCGCAGATCTAGATGGAGGGCCGCGGTTCACTTTCACGAACGTGGCGTTTCTTGCGGCGCAGCGGTACTACGTGATGAAAGCCGCAATTACAAATGATGCCATTGATTGCTCCGTTTTGAAACGGTCGCGATAGCTGCCATGCGGGATAGGAACATTCCTCTGAATAGCCTTTGTCCGGGTGTGTTGTCTTAAGCGGGCTAGGCGACCGAGAGGTGCTACGCATGCATCGTGACCTAAATGTGTTACAATGACGTTCATGATCAAAAGAGATAGTTCACAGCAAACTTAACGTTACACCGTTTGCGCGACGGCTACACATGCAGTGACGCATTGCTAAGACCGGATCGTGAGCCCTCCCGAAAGCAACCACAGCAAGAGCGTTCATTATAATTCACCTTAACAGAGTCTACTATAGCTTTGTGCTGCCTCGTGCGATACGACACATGAATCCACTACAAAGCCGTAAAACGAGCCCAAGCGTACAACCGTTTACGCCTGTGAAAATCCTGACCCAGCGCCGGCGGCGAGGTTGGCCAGGGCCGCCGGCTGGCCGACGGTCAGTGCGGCCGGACGGCAACAAGCCGGCGCCGGTCGAGGAGCGGTGCGGCCGGCGCCGGCCCACCGCGGCCCCACCGCTAACCCGCCGGCAGACGCCGCCGGGGGGGGGGGGGGGCGGTGCCGCCCGCGAGGGAGGGGCAGGGGCTCCAGCCGCGACCGGCGATAGCGGCTGCCGCTCGGGCCGCTCGACGGGGGCGTGCCGGCCAACAGACCGGGTCGCACACGCCCGTGTCACCGCTCACCACGGCCGGAGCAAACACTGCCAGACCTCACCACCGCAGCAGAGGACCGGACCACACGCGGATCGGGTACCGATCGATGACAGGCTCAGCCGCGGCGCCATCAACACGCCGTACCACACAAGGCCAGCTGGACCGGGCAGCGAGCAGCGATCTGTTCTCCCGGCCAGTGGAGGACGCCGGAGCATGGCCAGCAACGCCTCCCGGCGGGCTGAACGGCACCACGTCGACCAATGTGACGAGGCAGCTTTGTCGCATACCGGGCCGCATCAGTCACTGCTGTGTCTGACGCCACTCTAGCGGCCGAACTCACTAAGGTGTGATACAACCCACGCGAAGGAACGAAAATATGACACGTATTTACGACATTGAACCACATACGAGTTTGTGATGAAGTCCAATAAGGTACCATCCGAGAAATGAGGTCATACATGCTGTTATACTTTCACTTGCGCTTTCAATGCATACTAAGGAGCTAGTAACAAAGTGCTGGCCAAAGTGTGTGAGCAACATGCGGATGATTCTACGGCCAGGCCGCGGGCGCACCGCGGTCCTCACACGTGATTTTCATGACGCCTGCACAATTACGAGCAGGTGCTTATGTTCACACATCTAGTTTCATAACTTGGGTACAGCTGCCAAAAGGGGAGCATCCCACTGTCAATGACCGTATGCCACTACTTGCACCATACTCCTCTGCTAGCAGGTGGATTGGCACATGGTAATTGCGGACGGCCGCCCACAGCCGCGAGGCAGGCGGCGGGCGTGTGCTCCAGACGCACCAATGGGAAAACGGCACCCGCGCCACAACATCCCCGACCGCATTCACATCTTGGTAATTATGACGGCAATTCTACTTATCAGCCCCTGTATTGCACGACAAAGGCTACGAGGGCCGGGAGACGACCGCAGCCGGCGGCAAAACCGCACGGTACACAGAGCCCGGGCTGCAGAGGCGGTCCCCGCCGCCAGCCGCCAGCCGGCAGTACTGCAGCACGGTACACAGAGCCCGGGCTGCAGAGGCGGTCCCGCCGCCAGCCGCCAGCCGGCAGTACAGCAGCACGGTACACAGAGCCCGGGCTGCAGAGGCGGTCCCGCCGCCAGCCGCCAGCCGGCAGTACAGCAGCACGGTACACAGAGCCCGGGCTGCGGAGGCGCCGTGGGCCGCCAGCCGGCAGCCGGCACTACCGCAGCACGGTCCACAGAACCCGGGCTGCGGAACCGGCGCGCGCCGCCAGCCGGCAGTACAGCCGCACCACAGAGCCCGGGCTGCGGAGGCGATCCGCGCCGCGTCGCCGGCCGGCAGCAGAGCGGGGAAGTCGGCAGGCCGCTCTGGTCCGGTGTCCCGGGACAGGTCACCGCCTGTCCTGGTAACAGGTCATCGCCCATCCAGGGACGGGATTGGCCTCCCCGTGCCGCCGCACTCCGGGGCGCGTCGGGGAGGGCACCGGCGCAGCTGTGGCCGTGTGATGTGGTCTGAATGCCACGACTGCCGACAGCACAAGCGGCACGTGCCGCCTCTACCGGGACGCCGCCCGAGTCAGGTCCGGTCTGACATCATCGCCGACCCAATCCAAGTCACGCCGAGTCACAAGGAGTCACGAGTCGTCCGAGTCATGCCCGCAAACTGAGCGGCCCTTCGTCAGCCCCGGAGCGCCGCGCCCACGACACCAGCGTCGCCTCGCGCCGCCTGCGCCGCCGGTCCGCCGTACCGGCCACACCATGATACGGTGGTATGCGCGGCGCGAGGAGGCGCCGGCCAGCGGCGAGCCGCCGGACGCTGTGTACACGCCACACCGGCGGCCGGCAGTGGGCGCGCCCCCCACCGTCCCGCTACCGTGGGGATGTCAGCCACGGCCAGCCGAGCCGCCGGCACAACCGAACATAGTGCGGCCATTGAATGGAGGCCAAGTAAATCCCCAGACTCAACATTATAACCTACTTGTGCTCAGGGGGTCCCAAGTCAAAATAATAGGTCCAAACCAGTGACCTTGTTAAGACTTCTGAAAGCCTCTGTGCGTGCGTGCGTGCGTGCGTGCGTGCGTGCGTGCGTGCGTGCGTGCGTGCGTGCGTGCGTGCGTGCGTGCGTGCGTGCGTGCGTGCGTGCGTGCGTGCGTGCGTGCGTGGTGTGTGTGTGTGTGTGTGTGTGTGTGTGTGTGTGTGTGTGTGTGTGTGTGTGTGTGTGTGTGTGTGTGTGTGTATGTGTGCGTGTATATGTGTGTAGGGAAATAGACAAAGTAACAATTGTTAAATTGGCCTGGTAAGGAATGTGTTACCTTAAATGTTTCAGCGTTCCTACAGCATACGTGGACCCGATATGCATTAAACTTTTGATCAGCCTTGTCGTTATATGACTTATTAGCTTATCATATTGACTACAATTGGGTCTGGCTATGTCGTGATCAAACATATAGGTGGGTTAACGTATGACCCATTCTGAGCCGAGTTAAAGCCACTTCGTGTTTGCGTGATTGGCAGAATGAGCTGCAATTGGGGTTTAATATTACACAAATGACGTGTTTTTGTTTTCACGTCCCACAACCTAAGAACTCCACTTCCAACAGCTGTTTTTAAAGGCTGAATAGTCTTTTGTAGATGGTGAGATCGGGGTGATGTGTGCTATTTCAAGTCTTGACTTTGCCAAACGATCGGCTTACCTGTTGCCAGGAATATCGGAATGACCAGGAATCCAGAGAAACATTATTCATTTTCCACGCATAATTGGTTTGGTGAACGACTGTACTTCAAAAACTAAATTCGATATGGAATTCAGATTTCTAATGGCTAGAAGTGGCGACTTAGAGTCAAAGCATATTATCGCATTATTAAGTTCGTGGGATTTGATGGGGATCAATGCTCGCGATATTGCGAACAATTCTACTGGCAAAACAGAGAGGGGGAAAGAAGTCTGAATGTCTTTTGAATTGGGCCACAGAACACCGCAGCCACCTTGATTTCAAACTTGGGTCCATCGGTCTCGTAAAACCTGCCGAACGAATGATTTGCCTTGAGCTCGTTAAATCTTTATTTGATGTCACATGACGGCGCTTGTTTTAGTATCCTCTTAAAGAAATTATATGTCACGTGGTGGAGACGGCCAGAAGGGGAATGGACTGGGTCGCGTCGCTATTTCTGAATCCGATGTCTTTATCCCGTACCGTTCGGAGAGTCGCTGTATTTGGATCCCCGTCATGAAGTTTGCTAAATGCACTAAATTCCGATTATTCCAACGTTGTGCTCAAACAAGAGCTAAAATGGTGGTTGAAAAACGATTTAGTTTGAAAGGAATGCTTGAATAAAGTTTTTTGGGATTTCATTGCTAAATAATAAAAACACTGGCTTTGCCAAGAAAGTACATAAAGAAGTCATGCGTGAAGCTCCAGTTACCGATCACAGCGGAGCGTTTTGGATAGCATCAATACGCTCTTGATGCAAGCAAACGAGGTATGCACATAAACGAATTATTTTCTAGTGTTGATCAAATGACAGTGTTGAAAAGAAGGGCGAGTGTTTTTCTGTCTCCACCCCATTGTGTGGAAGACAGAGCGCGGAGGATATTGACACGACGCTGGGAATTCATTCTGATCTGGCTAGGATGTTTTCTAAATTCAGGCGGAAATAAGTTATGCCAAGGAATGTGTAAAGATTGAGTTCAAGAAGAACTGCCCTGTTAACAGAGGTGGATCTAAGAATCGATGCAATGATATGTTATTTCGTGTGAAAAAGATACCAATGAATCAACTACGATGGTTGATTCGTCTACCCATATTTTCAAGTCTCATGAATCACACCATTCTGAAATGCTGTGGAGCGCCAACTGAGCGACTTGAGCAGCTCTGTCTACAGACTGATGAACATGCCAAGTTGCTACGTCTCCAATGAGTAATGAACAGTACGTTTACTGAAATAATGTTTACAGCGATGTCATCAGGCATTGTGACGAAAATGTTAGTGAAATCACGCTCCCTTGGGGTACACCAAATTTTTTGGTTGTAAGGGGAGAGAGAAATGTTCGAACGCAGACCTGAAATGTTCTAGGCTGTAAGAATTTTCTCATGAAGACAGCCAGATTTCTTCGTATTACTTTCGTTTGTGAATTAGGTTTAAGAGAGTGGAATGATGTACCATCTTCAATGCAGCTGTAACATCCAGGAATACTGACAGTGCGCGGTTTTCTTCAAATCTTTTCAGATACCGTTTGTAATCATAACGAAATAATCTGCAGAGCTGCGTCCTTTTCGAAACCCCGATTGGAATGGGTAGAGTTGGGAGGAAAGCTTTAGAAAATATAGAAAGCATTGGTTCACGAGCCGTTCAGTTCACATGCGCAGCTTGTGAGGTAATCGGACGATGGCTAGCTGAATTGGTGCAAGATTTCCCTCGATTGTGAATGCAAATGAATAATGAATGAGATCAGCCTTCAGAAACATACCGTTTCTCCATGCCTGATTTATACATTTTAGCAAAATTTACAGAGATATAGGGGAATATTTCTGAAGAAATCCTTGTGGATTCCGTAGGGCCCGATCGAAGAGTTTCCTGACTGGGTGATAGCTAATGAAGTTCTTGGAGCGTGAAGGGCCTGACGTAATATTCTATAGAATCTAGTTTGGTGTTATATGATTGGAACAACTTACTGACGCGAAGATGCTGTTCCGCTGAACAAATCAAATGTGATGGTACACTGGCATAACGATTCGCGAACTGGAGAACTACCTAATTTGGGTTTACATAATCGTTATAACGTTTGTCTAGGTGTAAAAAGGGCGCTAATTGGGTCCCGTTTACTGGTAAAAACTCTCTTCCATCACGTGATCCTCTCCGAGGCACCGGTGCCCGGATCGGCAGCCCCGGCCCGGCCACTCACCCTGAAGACGGACTCGAGCGGAGCTGAGCTGTCCTCAATCTGATGCAGCACGCCGGCGGCCAGCATGTGCGTGAGGAACTGGCCGGCCAGGGCGCGCAGCTCGGCCTCGCCCAGTGCTGGTCGCCACTGAGGCTCCTCGCTAAACGACGAGATGAACCAGTTGACCAGCATCTGACCTGCGGACACCGAACACACACTCATACACAGGTCAGGTCGGATCAGGTGGCGTGGCGCGTGCGGGAGACGACGATCTGGCGACGGACGCCGGGAGGGGGGGGGGGGGGGGGCAACGGTTGGTTACGAGTCACACGCTCAGCAACACGGTCGAGGGGACGATTCATAAAAAATAATAATGCAAGTTTGCCGTCGTGCATTAGTTCAGCACAAGCCCGCCCACCCACCCACATTCGTTGCGACCTATATGCAGGTGAACACGGCACTGAGTACGTCGCAGTTTACCACAGTGAACAAAACCCCTCATCGAATTCGACCGCACATGCTGTATGGATGCACTGTGCCTTACTGAAGAACCACCGATATCACATAAGCAAGCTACTGCACCACACTCACTCGCTCCGTCCCGAGGACCGCCCGGTTACTGGCAGCACGACCCGCGACCGAAGCACACACGCTGTCATGGCGTGGTGCAACACACCCAGCGGACCGCCTCGACGCTCTCCGAGCGTTGTGCCATGCCAACAATCAACGGGAGCTGCAATCGGCGCGGTGCAGCACCGCTACGTCACAAGTGCAACGCATACGCAACACAACACCCGCAAACAAGCGCCCGCCAGCGCGCACGTACACCGCAGGTATGCGCAGCTTCTACGGTTCAATTTCACGCTTTTTGCACGGCTTCCCAAGCGGCCGAGTCACCGAGACGGCCGGCGCCGCGCCGCGGGGACCTGGAGCGGTCCCGTCGTCGCCGCGGAGTCCCCCATATTCAGGCCCGCACCTTGCACCGAGCCCTGCAGAGCTGATGACCCGGGTGGGAGCATTCGACACGCTGGCACGCCATGACCGGACCCTTCGTGTGGTCCCGGTGGTGGTGCAGCAGCCAGCATACCATGAACTCCGCGTGCATGGCTGGGACAGTGAGTGCACCGCGAAAGCGCTGGCGGCTGTTGAATTCTGACAGACTTGCTCGGTAATGACGCAGTGCGGACAGCGCAGTTCTGGAACGCACCAATGGCTGCGGCTACGTGGCCCGGTATATGGCGGTGCACGGGCCCGAGGACCGAGCTGGCAGCGGACAGAGCCACGCATTCCCATCCCGGTGGCATGTCCACCACAACGTCCCACCTGAGTGCGTAATGGGCGGGCATAACCCCTCCCCCAACAGTTCGTGCCTCCTCGCCTCCACGCCTCCTCACGTCACGCCCTGATCCACTGCATGTGGCGCGGGCCCAGCACGCGCGCCACGTGCATGCCAGCCTGCACAATACGGCCGGCACCGCTCCAAGACGCCTTGCGATCCTCCGCGGGCGAACACTCCAGCTAGGTTGGCAGGCACGGCGAGGGAAGGGGGAGGGGGAGGGGGAGGGGGCTGCGGCGGCGTAACACCGATGACCGACGGCAAAGGGGTTCGGGGGACGTCGAGCGACCGGGCAGCACGCCCACCGCCGCAGGCACCAGCCTATCCCACGGGACGGCGAGGGCCGACGACAGACGGGCTTGAGGGACGCCGCGTGGCCGCGGGCAGCACCGCCCACCGCGGCGGCCAGCCCCTCCCACATGGCGAACATAACGCAAGGAAGGTTTAATCACCGCCAAAGAATAGCTGCACATGCAGACTGACCAAGCAAATTCACGCTACGGTCACAGGGGAATACGACTTAAAACTATTACTTTCCCATAAGATCACGATAAAAAACAACTGAATAAATCGTCAGCAAGGGGAATAAGCCCCAATACGTGAGACCATATCAACCAGTGCCACAACAAAAACGGTGTAAATACCAGAACAACCTACTGCACGTATATGCCAAAAAATCGATCACACATACCAGGTGTCTACTCTGAGGCCAGCCGTGCGTGGTGCTATGTCGAGCTGACTACAAATACTGTCAAGCTCCTCACAAGCTGACAAACGTCACCACCAGCCACTGTGTTTGGAACCTAGTGAGTCCCGGTAAATGCACGTCGCTCCAAGCACTCAACCGAGGCATATTTGACACCAAACGGTGCTCAGTTTGCCGATTATCAGACACGCGGGCGGTGCAACGGCCAACCACGGCTCGCGCCATGGGCATGGAGTGCCTTCATACCACGCCATCATTTTTACCTGATTTCCACCCGAGGAAGTCGTTTGTCCGTTGCTCTCCGGCTCCGCTCTAACACGCCAGGATTTGGCATTAAGTCGTTATCACTTACTGGCATAAACTGGCAAGAACGCTGCACCAAAATATCCATAATGCACGGCTGCACAACGCAATAATAATTCACGGGTGAAACCGCCGCGTCCGCGTCACTCACCCGGTCGATCATACCTATATAAGGGCATCTGAAATCGGTGTCGGACACGAGACACGGCCGCTCCAGTTGGCACCCGTCCAACGGTCGGCGCTCCCACACCGACCTCGAGCGCGGCAGCCAACGCAGTGCCTCCCGCCCGGTCCTGGTCCTAGCCCCGGCCCCGGCCCCGGCCCCGGCCCCGGCCCCGGCCCCGGCCCCGGCCCCGGCCCTGGCCCCGGTCCCGGTCCCGGTCCTGGTCCCGGTCCCGGCCCCGGTCCCGCCCCCGGCCCCGGCCCCGGCCCCGGCCCCGGTCCCGGTCTCGGTCTCGGTCCCGGTCTCGGTCTCGGTCTCGGTCTCGGTCTCGGTCTCGGTCCCGGTCCCGGTCCCGGTCCCGGTCCCGGTCCCGGTCCTGGCCCCGGCCCTGGCACAGGCCCCGGCCCCGGCCCTGGCCCCGCCCCCAGCCTCGGTCCCGCCCCCGGCCCCTAGCCCCGATCGGGTTTGGCTCACCGCTAGACACGTGCTGCCAGCGCTCCCCGTCATGGGCATGGTCCAATCGCGTCAGCACACTGACTCCGTCCGGGCAGATCACGGCCTGATAGGGCTCCACCACCACCGGTCCGGCGGGCCCCGCCGCTGGTGTTAATCCGTTCACACGTAAATCACGGAGGGGGTGACGCTCAGCACGCGACCGCACTGTCACACAACCGAAGAGTTGCGTCAAACAGCACCACTGAGTAATATCGGCCCGTCACATCGGTGATGGGTTTTCAGTGAGCCACAACGCTACAGCACGAATCCCACGAGCGCTGCCAAACGGCTCCTCACCAGGACGCTCCAGCGCTCTGTCTCTCGGCCGCCCTGAAGCCGTCCTGTCTCGACCAGCGGCGGCCCCGAGCCGACGCCGTGTGCTGACTGAGTCCGGGTGTGCACGTACCGGGGCGCGGCGAGGCGACACGCCGGCGGCCGGCGGGCGCCAGTGAAATGAGCGGCGCAGCCGGGCAGCCCGCTGCAGACGGCGGCGGTCAAGGACGGTCCAGCACTCCACCGAGCCGGCACCGAGCCGGTGCACGGCCTGCCCGGCCCTCCGCTGAGCCGGCACACAGTCTGCCCTGCCCTCCGCAGAGACGGCACACAGTCTGCCCTGCCCTCCGCTGAGCCGGCACAGTCTGCCCTGCCCTCCGCTGAGCCGGCACACAGCTTGCCCGGCCCTTCGCAGAGACGGCACACAGTCTGCCCGGCCCTTCGCAGAGACGGCACACAGTCTGCCCGGCCCTCCGCTGAGCCGGCACACAGTCTGCCCGGCCCTCCGCAGAGACGGCACACAGTCTGCCCGGCCCTCCGCAGAGACGGCACACAGTCTGCCCTGCCCTCCGCAGAGACAGCACACAGTCTGCCCTGCCCTCCACACAGACGGCACACAGTCTGCCCGGCCCTCCGCAGAGACGACACACAGTCTGCCCTGCCCACCGCTGAACCGGCAGAGCCCGGTCAATGGCGCTGTCGATAGTGCGTAGCGCTCTGCCGGCGGTGACAGCGCACTGCTGAGATCTGCAGAGATCTGCACTGCGCTCTACGCAACTCCAGTATTACCAACTACGGTATCCCTCATAAACATATGTCGGCAAATACGCACTGCACACGGCCAGCAAGGACCGCGGAGCTTTTCTTTCTTGGCGCTACAAAACCTATATCACGTTCTCATCAAATGCGGGGGTCCGAGAATCTGTCGATCCGTCAGACAGCGAGCTGCCGGCGGTGACGACGACGACATACGCGACTCATCCATAACAGCCTAACCCCTCATCCCACGGACAAGCAAAGACCGACATGCAGGCTGCAGCAGTACCACTATCGCGCTCCACATATGAGCACTATGGCATACCACTGGCGGCATTCACGATCAACGACGGTCAATGCCACAATGCACCAAGAAAACCCACCGAACTAAAGCCGACGGTCGAATGCGCTGCACTCAACGCCCGCCTTTAATTCCAAGGTGAAACCGGCTGCACCGAAATACGTGCAGTTTCAGGATATGAGGTCGAGGTATGTCTGTACGCCGTTTTAGCGCAAACTGCGCGAAGGGCGAAAGATAAGTACTATTATCACCCTTTATCACGCGTTTGTGGCACACCGATACAACCATCCATGCTGGGGATGGTCAAAACACAAGAGTACTACGCAGACCTCATGACATTAAATAGTGCATAATGTTGCTGAGTTTCCAACAAAATCATGTAAGTGCTCTTCCACAGTTTAGGCGAGACCGCAGCTACTTGCGAAGCACTTTATTGTCGAACTGTCGCGTTCAACTTTATGTGGTGATCTACTCTGCCTTATGGCTCACGCTAGACTTGTCAGCTATGTCTTCACAGTCACTGAGCACCACACAACGGCCTGCACACATGAGCCTACGGGCACGACAACGCCGCGTTGATAACCCACGCGCCGGGCTCCATGCCTGGTCGACACTGGCTCATGACGCACGAGCAGCATGGACCGTCCCACCCCGGGCCTCGTTAGACCGCCAGAGCCAGTCCCAGCCCGCGTCAGCCTGCAGCTACTGTTCACGCGCGGCCTGTCCGGCCTCCGTCCGCCTGCGGCCACTGTCCACGCGCGGCCTGTCCGGCCTCCGGCCGCCTGCGGGCACTGTCCACGCGCGGCCTGTCCGGCCTCCGTCCGCCTGCGGGCACTGTCCACGCGCGGCCCGTCCGGCCTCCGT